GTACAAAAAAGAAAAAAAGATGCGAAATTGAAATTGATGTCCTCGCATTCGCAGACGCGACAATCTAATGTTTCCACTGCCCAGTCGGCTTCATTTCCACTACCGGGTTCCCCTGCGCGCCTCCCGCCCCGCCTAACCCACAATAGCGACTTGTCTCCTATTCCCCCAGGCATGGCAACACCATAGCCCAGTCGTTGGTGGCTTTCGGAGACGGGGAATTTCACCTGCACTCCCGCAATTTGAGGCAGGTCTCTTGCATTAGCCACCGCTCTGGAGACGCAAAGCCCAACAACACCCAACCCTCCCTCAAACAATGCGCAGCCTATTTTCTTCGTAAACTGAGCGTGATCTGTGTCTTCCCCCCTTTCGCATCCAACGTCGTGGGCCACCAAGTAACCGGCGGGCACGCAAGAGCTTGAGATCCGTGCCGTACGCCAGTACTTCACGATGTGACAAGCTCGTCAGCTCCGACCAAGCCAACACACCTTCAAAATCGCCGACAGGCATCGCCGTCCCCAAAACAAACACGACAGCCACGACAGCCCGGCCGCGCCCTCGACGTCTTTTTCAAAGTGCATATTAGCATCAACTTTGTCAACGCGCATCCAAACTAATGTCGCGTCCTAGTACAGTCGCTGCCCGATGCGCTGCGCTAGGAACTTCGATCGCCCAGGTAGCCGCTTCAGATGTTCAACTTTGCACCTACACGCGCTAACGCCCAAAACAGGTCATCCCGGATATCAGCAGCTTTGCTCGCAAATTCCGCGATGCTCGTCACGATCTGAACAAGATCAACAGTGATCTGCTCGTGATCAGAACTGGGCTGAGTATTGCGCAAGACGACTTTTCGGCAAAGTGGGCCGAGCTGCCGGCGTCTCTGATCGATGCTGTCTCGCGAGTTCTGGACTCATGCGACGATACCTGTGAACGATTGCATAAGGCTTTTCTTAAGCTCTCATGTGGTAGTAAACCGAAAGAGGACTGGCGTGTGCTGAAGGACGGACCTTTGGTGAATCTACGGCATGATCTTGACGCCTCAAAGGTGGTGCTAGAGTTGTGTCTAGACTATGTCGCATTGTAAGTTGTTTGCACCAGGAACGACGGAGCGTTGCACGAGAACTGACTCAGCTTAGATTTTGCCAACAGGATACGATGGATTCGTTACTTCAGAATTTTGTCAGCGATCTCATCACGCAAAGTGATGAATTGCTGAAGAAGACGGATACAGATGAGATTTACGTGAATCAAACAGCACGCGACAAACTGTCTTCACTATTACAGGCTGTCCGTCTGCTTCGATCATGTATCACAGCTATTAAACGGGACGGGCCGTCTGCATCACAACTAGCAAAGAGGACTACTCTCCCACGTCCAGATTCCCTAGAGCCCGCCCTTGGCGAGGAGCCTCGAAGCGGCAGGAAGAGCCCCCACGAACAAGCTTCAACACGAAACAGCGCTAATGACGGCATTGGCACATGGCTCGCCAACGTTCCGTCCTTTGAAGACGCGCAGACTCTCTCTTATTCCGCACTTGAACAAACATCTGTTCCCAGGCGACTTCTGATACCGCCATCCCGGGAAGACATCACCCCATCGCGCGGTACATTCTACACTGACGACGGCGCGGCATCCAGTCCTACCCTGGTACCACCGGAATCTCGACTCAAGAAGTCATACAGCTGGTGTACTGATCTCTCAGGGAAGGCGAGTACTCGGTTACAACTTGCGTCTAGACACGCATCAAAACAAGCATCAAAATACACATCAACGCTGTCCAGCTCAGACGTCTCCATTTTTCATAGGAAGATCACCTCGGACCGGATAGCTGTGACGAAGGGCAAACGAAAAGAGTTGGAGCCGAACCAGAGGGCGGCGGTAGATCGAATCCTAGCAAACATACCAGCGGAAGCGACAGCTGCCGAAGTGGAGAGGGTGATATGGGAAGGCGCAAACCCCATGGCGACGCACCCAGAATTCGGATACTTCTTCATTCGAGTAGCGTACGAAATGTCGCCAGACATTCTTACCCTTCTCTTGGATTTTGGGGCTGACATTACTCGTGTCAATCCAGCACCATCGTCGTATTACTCCGCAATGCATGCCGCAACATTAGGACGGCAGCTCGCCACTGTCCGTTACCTTGCTTCCTTGGGTCACTCGATCGACAACCCTGATCATGATGGAGAAACGCCACTTCATCTTGCTTGCAGGACGCCTGGTGCGTCTGCGATAGCAAAGTACCTTGTTGAAGCTGGTGTGGACGTGAACTTCGAGGCGAAGAATGGACGTACACCACTACAGTCTGCCCTCAAAGCGATGAGACTTGAAGGCAAGGAGAGGAGCATGTTGATTGAGCTTCTGCAGACACATGGGGCTGAGGGTGAAGTGAAGAGGGACTTGGACTGTGGGAGGGGTAACGAGAAGGGAAGACATGTGCTTGGATTAACATGAAATCCAGGTTGATCAGGACAAAATGAAAGTTCCTTTGTTTCTGCTTCCAGTGGCGATCATTACTTCTCTCATTTTCGGGCCTCGCGCCATATCTGAAATAGTAGAATTGTCATCTGGCTCCGCTTTGTATTCGCAGGGTCTCTTCAGGCGTTGTTATAATACGGTGGTCAACTGAGAATGGCGAAAACTGGAAAAGATACCCAAGATATTGTATTATAATCATGATCGATGATGTTGAAGCCCTCTCCATTGACTCCGATGCTGCTTGATACTACATCCAGCATGTGGTTGATCTGGGAAGGTACTCTGGATGCCGAAACGTCTCTAGCCGCCGCTAACTTATCGTGAGGTCCACTCTTCGTCGGCCACCTCCGCTACCAAGGACTCACTCACCTCAACTTCCCACCCATCCCAAATCTTGCAGCACACATTGCTCCTTACGACGTGTATTATGACCAATATGGCGAACGCATACAAGATGTGGGCGGAAGGGAAAGAGGTGGAAGGTCGAGCGGAGCAGTCAGTTAGCGGGACCCCTCATTCGTGACCCACCCCGATTGCTAACAGCATCACAGGCTCTCCGTTGAAGACCCCGCGACTAAGGAGATCTTCGCGCACTGCCATGCTGCATCTGCGGCTGATGTCGAGGATGTTGTTCAAACTGCACACAAAGTCTTCAAATCGGGTGTGTGGTCGAAAGCCCCGCGCCATGTGCGTGCGGACACGCTCGACCGAATCGCAGAACTTCTGACCAAGAATCTCCCAAGACTTATCGCGCTGGAGGTACAGCAGACCGGACGCGCTATCCGTGAGATGAATGCCCAAGTTCCGACTCTTACGAAATGGTTCAAATATTACGCCGCGTTGATACGAACCGAAGAGCGCTCTGTCCTGCCAACCGTCGGTAAACTACACAATTGGGTTGACCGTAAGCCGCTCGGTGTAGTCGCGCAAATTACGCCGTTCAACCACCCAATGTTGATTGCTGTTAAGAAGATCGCACCCGCATTAGCCGCGGGCAACTCCATTGTGCTGAAACCAAGCGAGCTGACGCCGCTCACCAGCATTGAGCTTGGCAAGCTTCTGAAAGAGGCCGGCTTGCCCGACGGCGTCTTTTCAGTGTTGCCAGGCGACGGCATCACGACCGGAAAGGCTCTTGTGGAGCATCCGCTCATCAAGAAAGTCGATGTTACTGGCGGCACACCAGCAGGACGCGCCATTGGCGCCATCGCAGGACGCAACCTGGCACATTACACCGCCGAACTTGGTGGTAAGGCTCCCCTCGTCGTGTTCGAAAAAGCGCACGTCGATCTTGCAGTCAATGGCATTGTGTTCGCAAGCTTTATAGCCAGTGGCCAAACATGTGTGGCAGCGACGCGTATCATCGTGCAGAACAACATTCTCGGTGAGGTAGTGGAGAAGCTGAAAGCCAAGGTGCAGAGCATTGAGAGGCGGATGGGCTCACCGAAGAATGTGGAGTCTATGATGGGTCCCCTCATATCGGCGAAACAGCTCAGCAACGTTGAGACACTAGTCAACGACGCAAAGGATGCAGGTGTGACGGTTGTCACAGGTGGCCAACGAATGACTCACAAATCTTCACTGGACGATACCGACTTCTCGAAAGGCTACTTCTATCCACCAACAATACTGACGGATAGCACCACAAAGAAGATTGTCGATACGCGCATATGGAAGGAAGAGGCCTTCGGTCCCGTCATTGTCGTCGTAGGCTTTGGCACTGAAGAAGAGGCCCTTGAGCTTGCGAACGATAGCGAATTCGGTCTGGGCGCAGCTATCTGGACGCAAGATCTTTCGCAAGCTTTCCGCGTGTCAGAGAGCATCGAGAGTGGCATTTGCTGGGTCAACACGCATCATCGCAACGACCCAAGCTCACCATGGGGCGGCATCAAGAGCTCAGGAGTGGGTAGCGAGAACGGTATCGACGCTTACAATGCGTATACAACATCGAAGAGTACGATCATAAACTATGCGACGGCTGATGAAGGGCTGGCTAGCGATGACTGGTTCAGGGAGGGCGCTGGCGAGGTTAGATATGGATGAGAGATATCGTGTCTCGATATAGTGAAAGAGAGGCCGCTATTACGCGAGGCTTCATATTTCGTAGAAAGAGCTATTCTTGAACGTCTTGTGTGCTCTAAAATAAGCACAGTGAAAGAACACAACAATCTGTGACTGACACCTGGTGGGAACTGGTGTTTTCGCTGACGGGGGTCTTGCAAATGACCTAGGCCAGTGAGAGAGAAGGTTCGTGACTATAATCGGTCACTTTATATGCGATCTACTCTTCTCTCAACCCTAAGCATTCTGCTGAACTAATGTCTAGATCTCCAACTCTATCGTCCGGTCATGTCGAGCACTAATCAAGATGCGCCAGCGTATGCACCATCCGGAAGTCAAGGAAAGAACCACAAGTCTAATTCATCTCTGACTCTCTCTTCCACTTCGAAATCCAGATCTCCTGCCATAACCCCAACTGTATCAAGAGAGCGAGGCACAGACCCTGATGCTCCTTGGACGGCCAGGTCATGGGTAGGAGGATCTAACAAGGGTAACATGTTTAGAGCACTACAAAAGGCGGGCGAAGACGTCAGTGTATATGGCAATGCGCCTTGGAAAGACTTCACGGCAATGGACTTGGCTCAGGCTTTGGTCGCCAGTCGCAATAAGCGCATCGACCAAGGACTCATCGAAGGAACACCAATCATAGGTGGTGACTATGAGCGAAAGCCGCGATCCATCAGCTCCACCAAAAAGAAAGATATCCTCCGTATACACACAGCTCCAGCAAAAGAGCCCGAACCGATCTCGAAACGCCAACTTCTGTTCATTTTGAGGAGCCTCCATTCACACCTTAAAATGATCAAGAATGCTGCTATTGACGAGGCAAAATCCTCACAGCACGGCAGCCCACAAGCGGGAGCAGATGACACAACTGCCACTGTCAACCCTTACCCAGAACTCTGCAGCACACCCGGGTTTGAGCTTGACGGGACACCTCTCACACATATCAGGATCATTATGGACTGTTTTCCGAAACCCATGATATCGGAAAAAGCCCAAATGTTGGTCCGCACGGTCTTGCACCATCAACACGAACTTCGCTCTTACCACCAGCAGTGCGGAGGAATTGACGGTGGTAGAAAACACTACTTGGCGTGCCTAAAAGAAGTCTACTATATTCAGAGGACTGAGCTGTGGCGCGAGATGATGAAGAGCGTGAGTGTTGATACTGATAGTGAACTCGGACAGCAGGTGGAGGCTATTGTCAACGAAACTTTTGTCAATGTAGATGATCTGTAGAGGGATGGTCGACTTTAGGAAGGCCGCGACGAAAGTCTGATAGTGTTAGTCTGCTAGACATGTAATAAACCGTGCTCTCAGAAGCTAGTGTTGCGAGCGGGAGTGCTTTGGCGCATGCCATATGGAACGGAGGGGCAAACCTTGGAAGTCCGGAGATGGCTGAGGTCACGTGGGGGAAATTGCATCCGGAGGGTGACGTCATCGCTTTGGCGAAACTTTGCGACGCGTCGCGTTCAACGGCATTAACACCACCACCCAGCCACAATTTCAACAGCTGTTCCAGTGCACACTCCTCGTCCCAAACTACACATCTTGTTCAAAGGCTACGATCAGTATCGGCAGCATGGAGCGTCTAATGCTCGACCAAGTGGCCATGCAGCGGCCTACCAGGGGTGGCAGCCATAGCGGTTCAGGGCTCACTCTATCCAACTCAGCAAGCATGGAAAAAGATCGAGCTTGACGACAGATTCTGGAAAAGTTTTTATACACCTTATCATGGCTGACCACTAATACTACAACAAGACACCTGCACACAAGCAAACGTTCCGCCTCGCGTCCATAAGCCCCGAGCCTGCGATCGAATATGCTCCCGCACTCGATTCGATTGACACGCGTCAAATGCCGTACTACTCGTCATCTAGAGCGAATTCTTCGTCGTCAGGATCGGTCAAGCTCCACAGCATCTTGTCCTCCTCAGCGCGACGCTCGTCCTCGGCATCCAGCTCACGATCGCCAATCTTGCCTGGATACCCAGGTGCCAGAAGCTTGTCGAACAGAATCCGCCCACCGACCGCAACATCGTCACTAGCTTTCGCTCGCGAGACAGCGCGCTGCTCTTCGTGGTCGAGGTTGTCGGTAATAAATGCAGGCAGGGGTGGAATGTAGTGCCTGAACTGATGGGTACACCGACTAGTCTGATGGCCCAAGCGATACTGCTTACTACGGAAGCGCTTGTTCTCAGGACCAGGAGCTTTCGCGCAAATGTCACACTCGATCGTCTCCTTTACAGGGCACGCGTCGGCGTCATGCACGTCTGCCTTTTCGCAGTACCAACAGAACTGAGCAGTGCCCCACGTCTGCGGTGGGATGGTCTTCTTCTCCTCAGCAAGATCGGTCCAGATATCGTTGATGGAACGGCCGGCGATGGTGCAGTCTAAAGGGAATTGATTGCAAGGCGTGCCCGGATACAGTACTGGGAAAAGGACAACGAGAAAGAACAGTGTCGTCTCATACACCGCATCGTTTGAGCTGTTGTGTAGCCATATGTTGCTTGTGTCGATTTGGAACCCACGAAGAAGCTCGACGAACCTCGGCAAGCTCTCACCGCGTTCTTTGTCTGGGACAGCGACAATACCGGCGTGGCTCGCCAGTGCCCCAAGCGATCGGATCGTAAGAACAATGCTGTCCAGCTTAGCCACGTTAAGGTTCCATTGCTCCTTCAGTTGGCGCTCATCATTGTTCAGACCTTGGCCAAAGAAGATCACTGGCCTCTTCGAGCCATCGTCGCAGCGCTGGTTATCGAGGAACTGGATCAGGACTGCTTGGGCCTCAGATTTCGTAACGAAACGCGTTTGACAAAACCTTGGGTTCAGCTCAGTATCGCCGAAAGGGATACCAAACTTGTCTTTCCCCTTGTTGCGCATGTGACACGTCTCCACGATGCGTAGGTGATGTACCGCGAAGTTTCGAATTAGATTCTCGAAATCGCTTGGAATCTTGCAGCCACGAAGCTTCTTCATTGGGAATACGACGAGACCGCTCTCGTTGATTATCTCCATTGGCTTGTCGGGAGGTTGGTTGTACCATTCGAGGTCTAGACAAACTCCCAGCGTGTCGTCCCACTTTGCCGGTGCGCCTGGGATTGGAGTAGTGCTGAAGCTGCGCACGAGGTCAAGAGCTTTGCGACCCTTGCAGAAAGCCTTGACACCCTCAAGAGTGTTGGGAAATGTTGTGGTAGTCGAAGCCATATTGAGTGCTCGCGGCTTGGGGCTTTGACAGTCAATCTAGGTTACAGAATCATTTGAGGCTTTACATACCTCTATATATTCGGAGATGGGGAAGTAGTAACTCGAGGACTACTATCTGACGACCCTGATACAGATCACACAATTTTTGCGTTTCGATATAATGTCTATCAATCGAGGAGTCGAGTTGAGCTTCGCCACGATGGTCTTTTGGAGCAGAAAGCAATGTTTATATATTGGTAAAGGAGAGCAGCCTGGGATCTAGCGCGTGAAATGCCGGGAGAAAGAGTCAATCGCATCAGTGACGACATATGCAGCGTGTGCCCCCCAGACAACGGAAAACATATTCATTGCCCCCGTTGACTACCTCACTGGGCCGACACAGAGTGCTGAAGATGGACTTGCAAAGTTAGTGTCGACATCGAGCAACTAAATACCGAAAGCATTCAAGCAGGCGGCAAACCAGCTGTTCGCTTGATAGTACTTGCAAGCCAAAGGCTGGATGGTGACAAGCTTTGGGTAGGCACTGGACAATTGACTTTTGCTACTGCTTGGATGTCTGCGAACATGCTTCTGAGTCGTTGCGTGCCCTGCAGAAATGTTTCGAGCTCAGTGTTGTTCATCTTTGCATTAGCAGTACAAGGGATATATGGTCCTGGAAACGGCGTTCAAAGACGTTCCCACTGCTCGAGAGTTCCATAACCTTTATCAGTGTTGTCAACTGATCTTCTTGCAAGCATGCCTCACGTAAATTCCTCCCCCGTTGACTTGCCAAGCTGCCTTATGTGCCCACATGCTAAGGCTCAACCAACTTCTCCAACACCTCATTCATAGCCCTGTCCGCCTCGCCCATCCTAGCCTCGTTATCCTCTCCGGGAAGCTGCCATGACAGACTGTTCTGTAACCTCTCCCAGAACTCCAAGTAATCCCTCATTGGCCCCTCTAGCACGGTCTCAACCTCATCCGCCGGAGTCTCAGCGCTGACCTGGCGAAGTTGTGCTGAGATATCGAGGAGGAGCCGGATCATGTGCTGAGAATACAGGTCGATCATGATAGGCGGTGCGGCGAGGGCTAGTGACGTCGGCTCGTGGCGCGCACCGAATCGGTCGGGGTCTAGAGACAGGTCCTTCTCCTTGAGTATGTAGTCCTTGGCGAGGCTGAGCTTGCTGCGCAGCATCCCGTGGTATTTGGCCTCTTCGTCGGGACCGAAGTTGGCAAAGTCAGGTGCCTCGTTGGTTTTGGCGTCGACGAGCGTTGCGACAGTGAGCTTTAAGTGCTTGAACCCGTTATCTTGTTGGTTGAATGCGACTCTTGAATCGGTGTTGCGGCCACCCCCAACCTGACCGGAGACCCAATGGCGGCGGAAGTCATCGTGGGCGAATGCGAGAGCGGTTTTGTCCTTGTCGTTGACGCCGATTTTGCGGGTGCGTACGGGCATTGTGGGTGTAGCTGGGGTTCAAATTTGCGGTCGCGGTAGGAGTATGAGAGGGAGCAAATGATCGAGTGATTTCACGACTGCGACCTCGCCGTAGAAGTGGCTAGAAAGCGGGGGTGCACACAGGCAGCATCAAGGCAACGAGGGCAGTGTTTGGTGCAGAGCTTGGAGTGTTGGTGAGCACGGGCCGCGAGTCGCATTCACTACCGTATCGTCACAAGTTCCTCTTATCAAACAATTGGTAGAGCTACAGACTGGGCACATGGAATGTACTACTCCGTGCGCTCTCTATCTAGAACAAATCATCTAGGTAGTCTGAGCTGTCCGGACATCCAATATGGACCACTAGGCCACCAAGAGCCTGCCCTGCCTCTAACATCTTTTCCGCTTCCTCTAAAGCAGACTCGGTGGCATCACTTAATTGCCTGGTTTCATCGTCATACGCGACAACCTCCATCCGTTGCGGATCATACTGTCCTTTGTGGTAGTAGCTGATACCACTCTTACGAAGACGTCTTAGTAGACCAAATAGTGCCATGGTCTCTCCTTCGATGATCATAGGGAATGTTGTAGTTTCGGAAATGCGGATCTTGTACCGAAAGTCGTCTTTTACTGGGTTGCATGCTTCCATCAATCCATCGCCCTTTTGATCTTCAATTTCGTCGGGGTCTGCAATGCACCAGTTACCATCTTCATAAGGATCGTAAGCGATGTGCGAAAGCTCCCACATCATCAGCTTGATACCTTGTGCGCTGATATACACATGCGGCTCACAGGACTGTCGAGCGGCCGATGGCAGCGACTGAAAGATGATCCGTGAGGGTCTCCACGACGCCATACAAATGTTGAAGGATTCTTTCGACTTTGGGTCCTGAAATATCCTTCTCTTCTCTCTAGCGTAGCGGAAGATGTCACGACCAATCTGTCTACTGTATATGAACGCAGCTTGCTGTGCGAAGGCGTTGGCAAAATCTTCCCTCGTCATCATTCGCGCCATTTTAGCGTTTCTGCAGGTGCACGGCGAATCGACGAGAGTGTTGGAGTTTGCTGTGTTGTAGGCTTCGTGAAGTTCCTTTTGTGGGTTGTCTTGGTGCCAATCAGGCTGGTTTTCATCCTCGTGGGTATGCTTGCGTTTCAGGCCAACGACGGGGGGCGGGATATATGAGTGCGATTCTGGTTCATCGTGCGCAAACTCCGGAACACCTTGTGGTGTCGCATCCGATGGAACATGGTCTGCAATTTCCTTGGGCTCCGCATGCGCTGTGTCGTCATCGTTCGCTGGAGTGGGGTCATAGCTATCTTCTTTCCTTACTTCTGGTACTTCCTCACTGGGAGTTGACTGTAGTACTGTAGAAGCTGCAAGATCCAGATTCTTCTCCTTCCGTACTTTGACGTGAGCCAGTAGAGCCTCGATTATTGCATCTGCGGATGTCTTCGGGGCCTGTAGAGATTTGATGTCGTACCCATCGTCCTTTAGCAACTTCAATCGTTCGATGTTGTTGGCTTTCTGCTTCCACGTCTTTTTATCCCAGACTTTGTCCAAGCTCAGCCCCTTGTGAGCGATGCCTTTACATGCTTTCTCTTCCCAGATATGATCTTCTGGCGAGAGTTTCGCGCATGGATGTGTTTGTGAGATGACAGGAGCCGCCTTAGGTGGGTCAGTGGCTGGCACAGGCAGACTGCGGGCGAGAACATCGGAGTGCAAACTTATCGGCGTTAAAGGTAAAGGAGGCACGAGGTGCTCGGGGCTGTTTGCTTCCTGGGTGCTAGAGACATCATTTCTCGCGCGCATCCGCTCAATGATGTCTTCATCTGGGTGTTGATAGTTTGAACCATTGGCAAGCGCTTGCGCACGGCAAAGCTGATCGATGGTAAGATCTTTCGGCCTACTGTTTTCCGTATCCAACGCATGGTTGATACAGCGAGGCTCAAAGGCGACAAAGCGATTAGTCTTTTGTGAACGCTGGTGAATCCTCCTGTCGATGCAATGCATCTTATACGAAGCAAGTCTTATGACGGTGATTAGTGTCTCGTAAAAGTGCAAGAATGGTTTTCGGTACCGGTTTGCTATACAAGTACTGTTTAGCACTTTTCCAAACTGACGTACTTGGATGAAACTGGGTGGTTCTTCCGTGCAGGACAAGAAGGCCAGCCAAAGAAGTAGAGCCGAATGGTTGTGCAGGGAGTGAGAGATCACCGGGGGGTGTAGTCCGCGCCCGTAGTTATACAGAAAGCAGGTACATCTTGTGGGGCACATCGCTTTCCCTCCACGTCGTGTGACATAATCTTTGGCGCGTGTGAGTGACGCTGGATAGCTTTCACCCGGTTGAATCGCCACGATGTTCGTGAAGAAAGCTGGGTGAGAAGCGGATCGAAGAAGACCAGTAGGGCGCAGCTGCAGGCCGAGCTCTAGTATGTAGCATGTGTGAAAGATCAATAGTAAAGCCGCCGTAGTGAATATACCGGATCCATATCCTTACACTAACAGTCAGACGCATTGTAGAGTGCAGTAGCAAACGAAGAAAGCTCCAAGTGAAATGCGCCGTTCTAGACTGGACGACAGAGTTGAATGTATGTTGTGAGTAAGATGTAGCAGCCTTTTGTCAGCGAGGCCATATTGTACTGATTTCATCGCGACGAACAAACTCTGATATTTCAAGATTCCGAGCTCGCAAAGCAAACCTTCTCATGTGAATAACACCCACCTAGATTCGGGAAGCTTCCGGAAAGGCATTGATAAAATGAGATAGGACTCTAGTTCTCGTGGCCACGCTTGAGGCTCGAGCCGCCATAGTGGAACGAGATGACAATAAGACCGCTTGTTCGACGTCACGGGTGACAGAACCATTAAGAAGATGCGCAGCAGAGATCCCTGGAAGGAGCAGACTGCTCGTTCGTTGTTGAACGTAGAGTGTTGGAGTAAGCACGCGTCAGATGAATTCTGCAGTAGTGCTGCTCTGGCCAAGGACTGACGCGTTGTTCGGGCAAGCAGCTAAGGGGCCTCGTCACATATTCCAGTCGCAGTGTAACCGAACATTCGCTTTTCTTCGCGGGGCATAGTTTCCGAGATGGCGCTGATGGCGCTGATGGTGTAGGTGATTGAATTCGGTGGGTGTGACAGATACGAAGTCTGGGCGGGCGAACTTCGGAACCGAGCGCGTGGGCGACGTGACACACTAACTTTAGTGGCGTCATTCACCCAACCTCCTTGAATTCAAACACGTCTTTCCTCCTGACATCATTCCTTCCAGTCTGACTGCCCTGCTCTAGTCTTATCGAGACATCGCCGGACGAATACATAGGCTCTGTCTCGCTTTCAGCCCACGTGTCTTTCAGATCCCGGTTCGACCACCTCACGCCGTCCATTCGCGACAATATGTCTCGCGACCTTTCTGAGTCCACTCGGCAAGTACATGCTTACTTATCGATTCGTCCTGCATTCTCTACATCGCGTTCGCTTTCAATGAGGTGTACGTCCATCGCGCCATTACCTCCACGCTCACCGTCTCCTCGTCTTCGCCATCGTGTCATCTTGTTCAATGTTATCAGTTGCATGGTCATTCCTGTACATCGAAGATACCTTCAATGCGAGTAGACGTTCGATCGATCTTTGGTGCCGCTTATGCGCGCATCCGTGTGTGCTCATGTCTCCATCCGTTTGTTATCGCGCAGTCACGTGACAAGGCGCTTGCTGCCTCCAGGGCAGGCTGCTTGCTATTGGCTGTCCGTGCTAGCACAATCACCTCTATCAGCACAATCAGCTGTACCGATACTACATTGTTGTAAACACCGACCCCGTCCTCCCCTCGCTGCAGCGGACTGGCAATGGCCGCGCCTGGCAGCAACCGCTATGCGATGTTCGCGAGTGCAGACAGCAGCGAAACTCCTGTCCGCAGTCCCGCTATTGACCATTCTCAAAACCCATTCCTCAACCAGATTGCCGATGACTCGATGCCATGGCAAGAGGTCAAGAAGCGCGGCGCCCCTGCAGTACAGCCGGCACCACCGGTTCGACGCTCTCCGCAGGTGCTGAATGACCGCACCAAGGCTATCCTCAACCGCCCACGCGCCCAGCAAGGGCAAGATCGCATCGTCTCGGGCTCAACGGACAACACACCCGAAAAAGCATACGATCCACACGAGAACTGGTGTGGCGTCTGCTCGTACAAGTTCGCCAACAAAGCTGCACTGCTCAGTCACATTAAGCAGAGCGTCGGACACGAAAACTATTGCAACCTCTGCAAGCGCGTCTTCGTGGACCGCAATGGTCTCAAAAACCACGTCGACAATGCAGCGAACCATGAAGTTCATTGCAACCTTTGTCTCTCCGCTTTCAAGGATGACTGGGCTCTCAAGAACCACTTCGAGAATAACTACAGCGTCGGCCATGAGTGGGTGTGTCTTACTTGCCTGCTCGGCTTCAACACTCGCGCTGAGTTGGAGCGACATCTTCAAACCGCTGCAAAGCATACGTGGTGCGGAACATGCCAGCGCCGATTTCGCAATCAGGATGAACGGGATGCACATTGGGAACAAACGAACAGTAAGTGGTCTGAGAGATTCTAAGTTGCGAGCTCGTGTCTTTTTGCCTGGTCAGAGCATTCATTCTCTTGTTCAACGATTACTTCACCTTGAGGACTTGACTGACCAAGGTAAGGACATAAGCATTGCTTACAACCAGGTTGCGACTTCGATGGGCCAGACGAGTCCACGCTTGCACGGCATCTCAAGTGTGACCACTTCCAGTGCGAAGGCTGCAAGCGCATACTACCGAGCTTTACCAAGCTTACGCAACACTACGAGAGCTGTGCATTCGCGCTTGCCTGCCCCCAATGCGGCGAGCACTGTGCTGGAAAGACCCAACTGGGTATTCACCTCGAGAACTGTTTCCTTTGCGAGGAATGTGGCTTCCACACTCACCACGAGGGCAACTACCACATTGTGAGTGATCTGCCACGCGACTGACTCACGACTGCCACGCTGACAACACACCAGCACATGACTAAGCACAGGTCCGCTGACATTGGCTGTTGGGCCTGCGAGGCGCCGATGCGCACCTACTCCAGTCTCATCAATCACTTGGAGTCAGGCAAGTGCCCCAACTTCAACGACCCGGCACTTCTTACGCGCTGTCTCGGAAAGTGGTGGTACTCAGCGCTTTACATGGATCTCGATATGCATGCGTCCATTCGCATAGGCCGCGTCGATATCCGCGAGGTACAGCGTTGGTCGGCAGCTGGTGACCTTCACCCTTTTGTGTGTCGTGACGAGGGATGTGGAAAGGTCTTTGGTCATCTGAGTTCGCTGGTATTGCACTGTGAGAGTCAGGCTTGCGGCTGGGGTGTCGATCGCCTGAACATGCCTGGGCTGGAGAAGGAGTTCAAGCACACGTGTCTTCGGAGGGATAGTGCCACCGCCTAGGAGAGTGCAACCTCCGATAGTAGTGGAGATGCTCGAGGATCGACATGGAACGCGGAGGACAGTCATTCGTTCTGTCCCATCTATAATACTTGAGCTACGCCAGAATGTGCTCGCTCAACACGCAAGGCTCAGTCGTCTGCTTCATAACATACCATGACGGCTTAATTGACTCACATTCCATGACTGTATTGGCTCGTTCAACGTGTATCTGACTACCACATCGGGCGCACTATTGCATCGATTACTACACAGCCAAAAGATGCGAACTAGAAATCCAGCTGGGTCTAGTTACAGTGTGACGAGCTTATTCGACTGCTCTCTTGACCATTTGAACGCTTCATGACACATGGCACGCGTAACTTTCTGTCAGCACCTTGTCACAGTCCTACCGCCTCCGCTCACCCGTCTCGCTGCCTTTGCCCTCTAGACGCCCAGTGATCCTCTTCTCGAACTCATCAGGATGAAGCGTCCTGCCTGTCTTGTCCCTGAATCGCCAGCTGACCCTATTCCATACCATTGAGCAATCTTGTTGTAAGATGCGAGCGACTAGACGCAAGTCATCGGCGGAGAAAGTATCGTCGGGTTTTACTTCGAGTTCGAGAGGACGAGCGGCGATAGGACGGGCGTTATTGTTGTTGTTGTTGTTGCCGTTGCTGGTATTGGGCTGAGCGGGCGCCCGCGGAGGCATTTGGTTTGAAGGGGCTTTCTGCCTTGAAGCTTTCGCACCTCCGGCACCGCCGCCGGTGTTGTTTTTCTGGTTGTTGTTCGTCCCTTTACTCCTGTTGTTTCCACCGATATTGTCCCAGCTCGCGGCAGCATCATTCGCGCCGTCTCCACCACCCGTAGTGGCGCCAGTGCCCCATCCAACTTGGGTTTCCCAAGCATTCGTACCGGTACCTGCAGCATCTCCCCCAGCGAAGTCCCAGTTTGCAGTACCGCCCCACGTATCGGGTGCTTTGTCACCAGAATTGTTCTTGTCATCACACTCGTCTTTGCTGTTACCCGTATCTTCTCCAAACGTGGCACCAAATATCCCACCATCATCCACTGTTTCCTCTTTCTTCGTATCATCCTTCTTAGTATTCCCACCATTCTGATTTGCGTGCTTCCCCTTCTTCCCTTTCTTACCCCCACCCCCTTTCTCGACCTCGTTAGCTGTCCATCCGTCCGGTCTGAGCTCTTTGAGACGGTCCTGACAACTCTTTTTGGTCTTGCCACTGATCTCTTGAAGAACCTCAGCCCAACTCTTTGAATCCACGGTTTTCATCTGTAGGAGCTTTTCATCCTGCTCTTTTGTCCATACATCTGACTCGCCGTCCTTCTTGCTATCATCTTGTGGGGGTATGTTGTTCTCTGGGGCAGTCGTTGTGTTCCAAGCATCTGCGGGGTCATCTTTCTTCTCATTTTTGTCGTCGCCACCTGTAGCATCCGGAGTAGGGTCCCAGGTGACTGCCACAGGATCACTTGCGTCATTGCCCAATTCCTGCACGACCCATGCATCACCTTTGTTACTTGAGGCCTTCTTCGAGCTCGACTTCTTCGATTCGCTCTTTGCATTGGCGTCACCCCACCCATTACCAGCCCAAAGGTCGTCTCCATTGGCGGCGGGCTTGGTAGAAGCTGGTTTCTTCGGGGTGCCTTTCGCGCCTGCTAGCTCCTTTGCCGGCCGCTGTTCAGAAGGTACCTTCGCAAGGCTGGCTGCAGTGAGTCGTGGTTTACCGGTGCCTGTGAGTCTGCCTTTTCGTCCGTCACTCGCGGTCCACTCTACGATGCGACCAGGAGTAGACATCTGATGTTAATTAGCTTACAAGCTCCGTCATGGTACTCAATGGGGGCAGTCACTATGTTAGCAGTTTGACTGGGCTTTCTAGGTTGCGGCGGAGGCGGAGATGCGGGTGGCTTTACTTCCTTGTACGGCTTGTCACTAAAGCCTAGGATGTATGCCATGGACACCCTACGCGGAGCGCCATTTGCATCCGTCATCCTGGTAGCTTGGAGGTGCAGGCGCTGAATTCGAAGTGCGGGCGTTGACGCCGCGCGTGAGAACGGGCGCGGTCTGTAAGCGACGGTGATGAAAGCTCCACGCGGAGACGAGCGGCAATTAGAGTGAATAAATTAAGCTGAGATTGAGCACGCAAGAAAGAGGTGCTGGTGTTGCGGGGGCTGGTGTGGGAGCGGACTGACGGTTGTCTTGGCGACAAACAGATCAGTTCAGAACCTTTGAACTTGGACGACAGGAGAAGAGTACATGACGGAACGATAGCCGAATCAGAAGAAAGGACATTATCCTGCGAACTACCCACGCAGAAGCAAGCAAGAGGACAACGAAGAGGATATTTCGTGAAAGATACATGGGTGTTGCCTTTCGCCCGAACTGGTAGACGTAAATATCCAGGTTACCAGCGATCCGAGCAGCCCTATCGCGACAATTCATCCCCGTGGTCCTCAGCTGTACCTTGATGTTGTGTATTAGTGCGTAGTAGTAATCGGGTTGCGGATGTCAGCGCATGCAGACTGCACATCGAATCGCGAAATTATCCTGTCATCTACTGATTCCTAACAGATTAAAACAAACGCTGTATCGCATGGATTCACTAGGAAGGCTGTGAGCGAACAACAATATTGCGGGGTGTAGGACAGAGCAGGACGCCGTTCGAAGGAAGTCGAGACGGAGCCGTGGCTGACTAATCTGAACGCTAACGTTCTGGGCCCTTGCATTGCGGGCAAGCTGGCATCTCCGTGTACGTAGCTTGGCGCTCGACGAAACATCGAATTCGACACGACAGAGCAGCATCACCATACACCCGCCATGCTGTTCCCATCTTTCGCCATTCTCGCTGCGGCGAGCAGCTTGCTGTCATTCGCGACGGCGCACAACATCCAAATGAAGGCCCACCAGCGCGAATGCTTCCACGAGTCCCTCCACAAGGACGACAAGATGACAGTCACGTTCCAAGTCGGCGACCGGGAGTTTGGCGGCAGCGGAAACTTGGAGATTGATTTCTGGGTGCGTCAATGAGACTCCAATTCTGCCTCCAAACCACATAGCTGACTATTTATCTACAGATCGAGACGCCCTCTCGAAGCTACCAAGTCCACGAACGCGGCGTATCCTCCGGCGATCACTCCTTCGACGCCAAAGAAGACGGCAAATACACATACTGCTTCAACAACGAGCACTGGGGCGCGAACACGAAGGAGGTCTCGTTCAACGTGCACGGCATTGTCTATGTCCCTGAATCGGAAGCCCCCCAAGACCCATTGGAGAAGGAGGGTGAGGAACTACACTGGATAGTTGGGAGAGGACAGTGCTGACAGAAACAGTGCGAACAATGTCGGAACTTGTTTCCCAGGTCAAGGACGAGCAGAGCTACATCATCGTGCGCGAGCGCGTACACAGGAATACTGCTGAGAGCACGAACGCGCGCATCAAGTGGTGGAGCATCTTCCAGTTGATGGTACTCATCGGCCAGGGGTTCTTCCAGGTGTGGTGGCTCAAACGGTTCTTTGAGGTAACCAACACCCGTGCATCCTATAATCATTCCAACAGTACTCAACTAATCCCGTCTACAGGTCAAGCGTGTTGTTTAGCTTTCCCTCTTCTCTCCCACGAGCTGCGTGCGGCGCAACATCTCTAGTTTTTGCCGCTAGTCTACGCACTTTGTCTCGATTCTTCTGGCGTTGGAAGCGTTGAATAAGCACAGGAAAAGGCGGGAGTATGGTGGTTACTTTATGACTCATCAGCGAGATCTGGGTAAGATTACATTTTCATATGCAGAGTTCATCCAGTTCGCTCTATGTTCCACGGGTCTGCTTCTGCCTACGAAGCTTGGCACGTATTGACCCGACTAAAATCTGGTTTGGGTCAGCTGATTCGAAGACAGCCTGGCACCTTGAGAAGAAGATCATTCTAGTGGTTGATGAAGACAGGTTCCGTGAATGTTAGTGTGGTTAGCCCCCCTCAACGTATTACTGAATCATTCACCACTATTGCTTCCATCTGCGGCATTTCTATATAAAGGTGCTCATATATCACTTCATGTTGATAAACTTCTACCTCTACCTCGATGTTGCCAGCTCGTTTTTCAACCCTTCGTTTGTCATTAATCTCCTGATCCATCTCATTACGTCAACAACAGAACAGTCAGGCAGCGACGTTGCAGCCTCAACGTGGTCAATCCGCCACTTTGTGCGCGTCTCTATCCGCAGTTGTCGGGTGAAGACGGGAGACACGTCGCGAATTGGCACTGTCGGTGTACTCCCTTGTGTTGTCGGGGTAGCGTGCCTTCTATCACTGGTCGCTGCTGCCTCCCATACGACCGTCACCACGAGCAACGGCAGTATAAATAGTCAACAACCCCCGCCCGCCTCCTCCAACACCAAATATGAGCCCCTCGATTCAACCTGCTGCAAGTACACCAGATGAACCCTTCACAACATGGCGCGCCTTCCGGCTGGCCTCAGGCTATGAGCTTGGATGACGTGCATGACGCTGCATCCACGCGCAAAGACTCGATGGCTACCTTTGGCGCTCCCTCTCCACAAACAACTGCGGCAAGTACTTTCATCTCAACTCCTCTTTCCCCTGAGCCCGAAGTTCTCCACCAACCGCAACATCGGTACAACGTGCCTGTACCACATTGGGCGAACAGGCAACGACCACCTACTCCGCCCCTTCACCACCTCGACGATGTGCGCCAACATGATCCTGCGAAACCATTGCGAGGCCCGTATACATCGCCTTACAGCACATTTGCACCAGCATACATTCATCCCTCAGTATCGAACATCCAGGGTTATCCGTCACAACGAACTGTCGCTCCACCCTTACTAGTATGTATCCCTTGCTATCACGCCAACCTAGGGAAAATCTGAACAGGTCTGGAGCCTACATCGACGTTAGGGCACCTACCTTGCAGGTTCCCATGCTGATGTAGGCTGCAGACCTGTCCAGTTTTTTCCCTTGTATGAGGTGCTTTGCTTTGCCAACGCAGTGTTGAGACATCTTACTATTCGTGCTAACAGCTTGACAGAAGGCGCCCTCTATCCAGCATTGGCCAACTCACAACCTTAGCATGGTAGATGCACAGAGCAAGAAGAAGCAGGACGAGTACAAAAGAAAGGGCGAGGTAGCGAGGAGAAAGACAGTTTCCGCCCAAGCCTCAGCGCCGCAGTACGAACTGATCAAGGAGCCTACAACGATGCCTCGCAAACGCAAGGCTTCAATTATTGACGACTTGACAACTACACCTGCACCTCCTCCTCGCTTTAGACGTCTTCTTCCGGGTTCACCCAAACCAAAGCATGGGCAGCAACAGAGCTTCACAAGCAGCCCAGTGGTAAACCACCACCCGACTCCTCATCTACCGGGCCCCATGTACTACATCGATCCGCGGCAGTATCACCCACCACCGTATATTTCTCCCTACCCACAGTATCAAGAACCGGTTCATGCGCGACCCTTAGCTTACATGCCTCAACATCAACCGCATACGCCCGCAGCACCTCCACCGCCGCCTCCCAAGATTGTCCACCCTGAGACTATACCCCAAGATATCACAAGCACCTACGACGAGTACAGGTGGCCGGTCGTTCTATATGAGCTTGAACCTGGACATGGCTTCGATTTTGCCGAGTCCTTTTTACAAGATCAGTTTGAGAAAGGAATCTACCACTCAGACAGGGACAGATGGGACGCGCATATTACGGCAGGCTTCATCAAGAATGGAAACAGAATGTCGCTTCTAGTTTTACACAACGCTGCGAACCCGTTCCAGTATGACCCACCGGCCACAACGACTACCAGCATCGGCGTATATGGAATGTTTGCTCATGAGCATAACGAGATCCATTGGACGACTGTTGCGCCATCTGTTCACAAATGGCTCCGCTTATCCATGGAAGCGGATCTTCTCACGGTCAAACAGAAGTGGTTTCCCAACATGAAGGCTTCTGACAAGCGGTTCCATCGTGCGTATTGGTTGGCTGCCAATAAACTGCCGCTTAACCGCATACTGAACCATAACATGGCACCCGAGGAGCCGTACGGAGTGTTTGAAGACAACGAGAAGAATAACTTTGTGATTACGGAAGAGGACCTGCAGTACGGGTGGGATGGAGAGAGTGTATCGGTGGAGAAATCGGAGAAGATCTGGCAGAGTATTGTCGACGAGATCGAGGGAATGGACCTGACGGACGTCGAGCATGTGTCTATAGGAGGATCAGAGAGGGCGTTTACGGCGGACTGGTTTAGCAAGTGAGGGTGCACTCGCTACCCAGGTATGCGATGCCATGAGCTCATATACGATGGAAAAGGAGGTTTTCGGGAAAGGAAGTGGCTGCCAGTGGGCCCGTATGTAGAATAGTCTCAGTCAGAGAGATGAATAACAATCAAAACCATCAGAACACTTTAGACATTCATCTGCTATCCACAAGCGCTAATGAGAAAGCTAATCTACTTCCAACTCTATCAGGCCGATGCCATGGCTCCCGATGAGAATAGTCCACCGTCCCACCGCGTTATCAAGACAAGGGCCTCTCTAACATCCAAATCTAGCACTAATCATCGATCTCCTCGTCTTGAACACTCATCGTCTCGACGCTCTCGGCAAGGCTTAGGCCCGTTCCGCCCGCTCTCAAGGAAGGTTTCTTCCCTTTGCCCTTTGTTCTCTTCTTGCTTTTCGCACCGCTGGTCTCGCCCACTGGCGGTGCATCCCTGACCCAGCGTGAGATGGCTTCCGCTCGTTCCGTACTGATTGGATACTCGCGACCGTCATCTTGCGCCCAGCG